GATCTGTCTATGTAGTCTAGCCAATTTTATAAAGTCTCTCAGCTTTTATACTTCTTTATCATTTCTATTATAAATATCCGACATTTTGCCAATAAAAGATCTACCAAGGTAGGTTAAATATATATGCTAGAATAAGGATGGTACCTTAGATGCTAGAACAATGATAGTACCTTAGATGCTAGAACAATGATGATGCCAAGAGACGTGGAATTTCCATGACGCCAGTTCTATATAATAAAAGAAGAGCTAATTCTGTCTTCGTGTCCGTATACACGTAAGCAATTTATATGTGTATGTCTGTATTATGACTTACATGTACTTATGCCACTTAATGTACATTCTCCACCTACTAAGTCTGGATAATCCCTACCATGAGATGAGGAATCATAATGTTGGTGACAAAAATACAAAAACTTAAAATTTCGAAAATTATTCAGTAATGAACAGAATTTTTTTTTTTTTTTTAGAAATATTTTTTTAATTGTGTCATTGAATTGAAATATGTACAGGGGCTGCAAAAGTAGGTATACAGTAGGTAAATTAATACAATACGTAAATTAGTTAATCAATACGTTTTGTGCGCATGTTTTGTTTTTCATTACTGTACTTTTGCATACCCGAAATGTGCAAAGAGCTACGGCTTCAATGAAATATGTCACGATTTTCTGTCTGGTAACAACCCTTGGGTAATAAGAAAAGAGTATGAGCTGAAATGTGGGGCGGTCCTTTTAAGTCATTTTTTGTGACTACTTAAACTGAATATATTTTATGCTAAATGTAGTACTGTATTTTAAATGGTTAATCAATTTAGATCTGAAATTTGATCATCTTGTCGTCAGCCAAGCGACAGGTAGTGAATTAGCGTTAACAATACCAAAAAGAAACTGAGCCTCAAAAGAAAAAAAAGATGCCATAAAAAGGACAATAATAAAATATGACTGCTTGTGTTGTTATTGCCTCCTGGGTTCGTTTTTCTTTTTTCATCTCATCTCCATTCCTCGATTTTGTTCTGCTTCTTCTCTCTCTTCTTCCCGTCTTACCCCTTTCTCCTCTCTTTCTTTCCTCAATGTTACACTTTTTTTGCCTTCCAGAAGTAAGTATTTTGATGACGTAAGCAAAACATGACGTCATTGTTTTTGAAGTTTTGTTTTTAGTACAAAGATAAAATGACATTCGCTGACCGCGTTCGTCAGACTAATATTAGCAGCCTAATGCTCTATAAATAGACACAAACCTGAGGCATTTGAGCCAATATTTTCACTATAGACAAACAGAGCGGCAAAAGACGATCTTTCAGATTTGTAGGAAGTTAGTAATAAAAAGGGCGTGTGGGTGTGGCTTATGGCTGCCTCATTGTGGACATGTGGGTGTGGTATTCAGTGCAGAAGGCTTAGTACGTATGATTCATTAAAGTAAAATAATGTTTATTTGCATTTGTGGAGTGATATGAAAAATATTAAGGGGTTGGTAACGCGGCTCTTCTTATAAAGACGTTGCATCATTACACACTCGACTCAAGATGGTTCATTTCAGCCGATTCGTTCTTCAGCCATCATCAGGTGTATCCCATGTGAAACGAAAATGAAAATCTGTCTATATTTCTGAGATGAGGTATTATGTACATTATTTACATTATTCAAACTATTGTCCTCATCTTTGTCGAACATATTTATTTCGCTCAAGGACACATGGCACAGTGGATAAAGGCGTTGGTTAGATCCAGTGACAGGACCCAAAGAGTGTGAGTTCAATACCCGGTTAAGGCAGTGGATAACTTTCAGAGGGAAATTAACAGGAGGTAACTGATAACTGACATCCATTAAACATGGCACGTGAAACTACAACAGTCTACCCCAGTGAGCGAAATAAAGGGTTCAGTTCGACATTCCAACCTCCTGAAGAAGGCCGGAGCGTACAACGGCCGAAACGTTGTAATAAATATGGCGACAAAGATGAGGACAATAGTCCGAATAATGAAAATATTTACTTTTTTAAAGTACCATGACACTTCAAAATGCAAACAATTATGACTCTCCACTACATCCTTATCTTTATTACCTGTGACTTGCCATGATATCCTGAAAAAGATAGCGGAATGCTTTCCCGTTGGCTGCGCCATAGTTTTGAATTCAAGACTGGCTTCTATCCAAAGCTATAGAACCGAGTCTATCCTGCTATTTAAGTCATAGCTAGTTTGGGAAGAAATGGATACATACTTTTTCTAAGAGTATATTTTCGAAGACAAGGGCGGATTTTTTTTTTTTTAACCATTTCACCCCATGGAAGGCAATAATGCCGCTAAGACGCAAGGGGTTACTGAGAGTGAAAGAGGATGAGAAGAGTTTAGTGAAAAGGAATGACGATAAAAGAAGAAGCTTCAGGAAGACAGAAGACGGCCATCGACGCTGCATGTGAATTTTTGTAGACCGTTGATGGCAGGGAAGCAGGATAAAGGGAAGAGAGTTCCACAGGTAAGAGAAGAAACGATTAGAATAGAACTTACGGTTCCATCTCGCTATTTCAATAGCAAAACGATGAGACCTAGTTGTCAATTTATTAGCACGGTTGACATATCATGGAGTAGAGCTCATGAGAACAATTGTCATGAAAATATTTATAAAAAAAAAAAAGAGGTTAACCTCATAACAGTGGTGGGAATTAGAAATGTGAAATACTTTCTTAGGAAAGAATTTGCGTTAACAAAGGTGGATATACAAAGAAGAGATACAATTGTGCACTCAGTACTATGTATGTTCATGTCAAAGTCGAATTATTCTTCCTACACACACACACACACATATATATATATATATTTGTATATTTAGGCAGCAATCCTTCCTTTATGCATGTTTCATTAAAAACGACAGACAAGGTACTACGGTTGAGCTTTTTATTTAATTTTTCTTGTGTTCTGACAAGAGCTTTCTTTTCTGGACAAAGAGTGTGTAAGAACTGTCCGAATGTTCTGTATTTCCGAGCGCTTTCGGCTATACCTTTAGCCATTATCAAGGATGATTCAATTATCAGCTTAGTAGAGTGTGTGTGTTCTGTGTATGTTCAGTGTGTGGTAGTGATGTTTTTAGTTTCCGAATACGGTTAGCACATTGTGGCTTTGTTCGTAGTTAATATTGTTAAGAGTTGGCTTTTTCTTTTTTATTGTTAGAGCTTCCATTATTTTTAGTCTTTTTTTGCAAGTGGATGCAGTTAATATATTTGTGTTTTCTACTAGTATGTTGCTAATAGTGTCGGGTAAATCTGAGTGTGTGTTTAAATGTGTTCTGATGGAACTGTGATCAGATAGGTGTAATGTAAGACGTCTGGATAAACATGTGGTTGTGTAGCCGATGTAATTATTTATGAGTCCGGTTTGGTGAGGAACGCAGTTCCTTAAAGGGCATTTGAACTCATAGATAATGTTTGTTCTTTGTAATTTTGACTTAGTTGGTGTGTTGTTATTTTTGAGGATAAGGTTGGCCGTCTTAAATTTTTTATAATTGAATCATCCTTGATAATGGCTAAAGGTATAGCCGAAAGCGCTCGGAAATACAGAACATTCGGACAGTTCTTACACACTCTTTGTCCAGAAAAGAAAGCTCTTGTCAGAACACAAGAAAAATTAAATAAAAAGCTCAACCGTAGTACCTTGTCTGTCGTTTTTAATGAAACATATATATATATATATATATATATATATATACATTATGAAATGGACAAAGTCCGACAATTAATTTAAGACATTTCTATGTTTATACATTGTTTTTATAGATACAAATATTTAAGTGAATGATCTGTTTATAATAAACAGTATTGATAACATTTACCGGCCTGAATGTCCGAGAAATTGTCATAGAAAATATTCTTCTTCCGACAGGAATCGAGCCTGTATCCTATACGGAACCGTAATATAGCCTGACGTGCCTTAACCGGATTAAAAGGATCGTTCGATTATCAAGGTCAATTTTACTGCTTTTAAACTTCAATCTTCCATGAATCTTTCACGTACATTCATATCTGCTCAAAGCGTATCCAAATGTAAACAAATGACGTCACACATTATGGAATGGACAAAGTATGACAATTATTTTAAGACATTTTTATGCTTATACATTTTTTTTATAGATACAAATATTTAAGTAAATGATCTGTTTTTTTATAATTAACAGTATTAATAACATTTACCGGCCTAAATGTCCGAGAAATGAATACAAATATTTAAGTAAATGCTCTGGTTTTTTTTTTTTTTATAATCAGGTATTATATATAGGTTCGATTCCTCTCGGAGGACGAATATTTTCTATTTGGGCAGCAACTTTTCTTTCATGCATCTTTTATTGAAAACGGCCGACAAGGAAAGCTGAATTAATTTTTTATTGAGTTTTTCCAGCAATCTAACATTTTTACGCTTTTCAGGGGTTAAAAAATATAGGAATGTGTTTTTGGATGGTGAACAGCGGTTTCTGCGCTACTTGGCGGTTACGTGCTATATATATATATATATATATATATATATATATATATATATATATATATATTATAATTATCTTTTAAAAAATATGATTCCATCGCTACATAGGAATTACCATGTTTCAAAAACAGAAGCTAAAACTTCCAATTCAATTATAGAAATTAAATTAAACTACCTAGTTTTGTTTCATCCTCAAGCGAATATATATATATATATATATATATATATATATATATATATATATATAAAACCACCCTTTATTAACGATGTTCAATACGTTCCCATATAAATTTGTATAAGTTGTTTGCACCAGAGATGCCAGAATCCCAATGTTTTTTTGTTTTTTTTCCGTATTTTAAACGAAATTGTTTGTAAGCCTGCGTTGTCAAGTAATGGTGACCTTTTAGGGTTCAGTGTGACTAATAAAGTCGTATCCGTGCCTCTATGCGTGTGTGTGTGTGTGTGTGTGTGTGTGTGTGTGAGAGTTTGCGCACGCGCGTGACACATAAATATATATGGCGTGTAAGTTTGCGTGATGTCATTTAAAAGTTTCTCGCTCCTTTTCCACGTTATTATATTTGTTGCTCTATTTCTCCCCACATCTCCATTCTCTCTCTCTCTCTCTCTATCTCTCTCTTTATCTTCCCCTTCTCTCTCTCTCTCTCTCTTTCTCCCCTTCTCTATCTATCTATCTATCTGGCTAGCTAACCAGCTATATTCGTCTGCGCGTGTGTGTTGCTGGAAGGAAACGAAATTATTTTGGCGGAAACTGGGCGGTCTCTGCTTACGTAAATCTCGCAGTGTATTCATCCACAGGTCGTGGGCTGTCGGAAAGTTTGCCTTTGGAGCTGGGGGGGAGGAATGGGAAAACTTAAAAAGCATCATCAAAGAGAGGCTGGACGATGGGGCTTATTTTGTTTTTCTGATGTTTATTTATTGTGTTTTGTATTCATCTTCTACAATGTTTTTTTAAGGAAAAAGAAAAAAAATCAGTGCTGAATTGTAATTATTTTCTTGTGGGTGTGCTTGTGTTGTTCTGAAAGAGTGAGTAAAAGAGAAAGAGAGAGAGGTGGATGTGTTTTATTTTTATATTCTCGTTGATTAGAAGGCGGATCAAAAAGTGTAAAATTAGAATCGAGGAGCAAGCCATAAAGTTAACCAAATGAGGCTCTATTTTCTTTCGCGTAGATACACAAACAAATAGTTCTTTTTTTTTCTTTTTTTTTTTAATTAAAATGAAAACATAACTATCAACAGTTATAAAAGAAAGTGAAACGTAATATAATTCATTTTGACTTTCTAAACCTGTGAGAAGTGTCTTTAAAAGTATTTGGATGGCCATAAATATGAACATTCGTCAAGCGACTGAAGAAAACATAAAAAAAATTCCTTGGTAAAAGTACGGAACATATTTCTACAAAACCGGACAATTTGATTTTGTCATTGGCTCGAAAAAAAATGAGAGAGAGATGGAAAAAAATGTATATTTCCACAGATATTAGATATCGGTAAGTATTCTTTCGTATTAATTCTTTTTAGAATGTTTACTGATGGATACACAACTGAATATATTTTATATTTTAGCTTTTTAGCAGGAGAAAAAAATGTATACACACAGACATACACTTACATGTGATATCATTTGTTTAAGTTAAGACGTCATTTGTTTAAGTTAAGATATGGGAAAAAACGTATGACAAAGTGGAAAAAAAGTTTTCTTGTGACGCGTTTTGAAATTTTTCGGACATTCGGGTCGGTAAATGCTGTTAATACTGTTTATAAGCAGAGCATTTACTTAAATATTTGTATCTATAAAAATAACATATAAACAAAAAATATATTAAAATAATGCCCGAACTTAGTCCATTTCATAATATATGATGTCATTTGTTTGCGTTAAGATACGCTTCGAGTAGATGTGATCGTTCGAGAGAAATCATGGGAAATTTGAAGTTTAAAAACAGTAATCTAACCTTGCTAACCAAACGTCTCCTCTGTAGCTAAATGGTATAGCACGTCAGGCTATATGACGGTTCCGTGTAGGATACAGTTTCGATTCCTGTCGGAGGTCACATATTTTCTATGAAATTTCTCGGACATTCAGGTCGATAAATGTTGTTAATACTGTTTATTATAAACAAAGCATTTACTTAAATATTTGTATCTATAAAAAAAGAACGTATAAACAGAATATATATATGTGTGTGTGTTTCTTTAAAATGAATATTGTCCTCATCTTTGTTGTTGCAGCTACCGCGACTTTTCGGCCGTTGTATCCGGCCTTCATCAGGTGTAGTTATAGTTAATCCCCAAACTGGGGTCAAAACACTATGAAAGTGTAAAAATAGGTTTTAATACATTTTTGTAAAAAATTATTACCAGCAATGAATTTTTGAAGGAAAAAATTATTACCAGCAGTACATTTTTGGAAAAAAATATTACCAGCAATAAAAGTTTTGTCGGCATTAAATAAACCATTGAGGTGTTTATATACCGTAAAACAAACCAAACTTGTCCTTCTCCTATATTGGTTGTTATACACAAGGAAATGTATTCTCTGCTATTTAAGCCATAGAGGAAAGTGAATGGAGATGGATTCATGCCTTTTCCAAGATTATCTGTAAGAAAGTGAATATAACAAATCCGAACTGGGTTCGAACTCTGCTCTCCGATTTCTCTTTTCGAATCATTATCTCTATCCATTACACCACCTTCACACCCACGCAAAACACAGCTCACAGGTATCTGTTAAACTTAAACCACAAGTGATATTTGTCATTTATTAAAATATTTGACACAAAACCAGAACCAATTTCTCCCCTCACTTAATTCTTCCTCTTATGATCTGAAATTTCTTCCTTGGAAAACAATTACCTCACGTTTGAGAATCTCTAGTTTGCACAAATATCTTGTTTGTGTCAGCTTGAAAGGGACAGGCAAGAGAAAGAAACTAACCATTTTTTAAATTCTAATGTGACCTCATTTTTATACGTATATTGTTTTCACCTATTTCTTTCTTAAAAACATATCTCCAAAAAATTTAAAGAGTCAACGTCCAAAGTTTAAACAAAAAATGTCAGTCTTTTTTTTTTTCTTTTTAACAAGTTGGGCTTTCTTCTTTCACTCTTTTCCTGTGTCTTCTTATTCTCTTCCGTGTCTCTTTTTCTGTGTCTTCTTATTCTCTTCCGTGTCTCTTTTCCTGTCTTCTTATTCTCTTCCGTGTCTCTTTTCCTGTGTCTTCTTATTCTCTTCCGTGTCTCTTTTCCCTGTGTCTTCTCTATTCTCTTCCTTCCGTCTCTTCCTGTGTCTCTTTTCCTGTGTCTTCTTATTCTCTTCTCTTCCGTGTCTCTTTTCCTGTGTCTTCTTATTCTCTTCCGTGTCTCTTTTCCTGTGTCTTCTTATTCTCTTCCGTGTCTCTTTTCCTGTGTCTTCTTATTCTCTTCCGTGTCTCTTTTCCTGTGTCTTCTTATTCTCTTCCGTGTCTCTTTTCCTGTGTCTTCTTATTCTCTTCCGTGTCTCTTTTCCTGTGTCTTCTTATTCTCTTCCGTGTCTCTTTTCCTGTGTCTTCTTATTCTCTTCCGTGTCACTTTTCCTGTGTCTTCTTATTCTCTTCCGTGTCTCTTTTCCTGTGTCTTCTTATTCTCTTCCGTGTCTCTTTTCCTGTGTCTTCTTATTCTCTTCCGTGTCTCTTTTCCTGTGTCTTCTTATTCTCTTCCGTGTCCCTGTCTCTTTTCCTGTGTCTTCTTATTCTCTTCCGTGTCTCTTTTTCCTGTGTCTTCTTATTCTCTTCCGTGTCTCTTTTCCTGTGTCTTCTTATTCTCTTCCGTGTCTCTTTTCCTGTGTCTTCTTATTCTCTTCCGTGTCTTCTTTTCCTGTGTCTTCTTATTCTCTTCCGTGTCTCTTTTCCTGTGTCTTCTTATTCTCTTCCGTGTCTCTTTTCCTGTGTCTTCTTATTCTCTTCCGTGTCTCTTTTTCTGTGTCTTCTCATTCTCTTCCGTGTCTCTTTTCCTGTGTCTTCTTATTCTCTTCCGTGTCACTTTTCCTGTGTCTTCTTATTCTCTTCCGTGTCTCTTTTCCTGTGTCTTCTTATTCTCTTCCGTGTCTCTATTCCTGTGTCTTCTTATTCTCTTCCGTGTCTCTTTTTCTGTGTCTTCTTATTCTCTTCCTTGTCACATTTCCTGTGTCTTCTTATTCTCTTCCGTGTCTCTTTTCCTGTGTCTTCTTATTCTCTTCCGTGTCTCTTTTTCTGCGTCTTCTCATTCTCTTCCGTGTCTCTTTTTCTGTGTCTTCTTATTCTCTTCCGTGTCTCTTTTTCTGTGTCTTCTTATTCTCTTCCGTGTCTCTTTTCCTGTGTCTTCTTATTCTCTTCCGTGTCTCTTTTCCTGTGTCTTCTTATTCTCTTCCGTGTCTCTTTTTCCTGTGTCTTCTTATTCTCTTCCGTGTCTCTTTTCCTGTGTCTTCTTATTCTCTTCCGTGTCTCTTTTTCCTGTGTCTTCTTATTCTCTTCCGTGTCTCTTTTCCTGTGTCTTCTTATTCTCTTTCCGTGTCTCTTTTCCTGTGTCTTCTTATTCTCTTCCGTGTAACTTTTTCCTGTGTCTTCTTATTCTCTTCCGTGTCTCTTTTTCCTGTGTCTTCTTATTCTCTTCCGTGTCTCTTTTCCTGTGTCTTCTTTATTCTCTTCCGTGTCTCTTTTCCTGTGTCTTCTTATTCTCTTCCGTGTCTCTTTTCCTGTGTCTTCTTATTCTCTTCCGTGTCTCTTTTCCTGTGTCTTCTTATTCTCTTCCGTGTAACTTTTCCTGTGTCTTCTTATTCTCTTCCGTGTCTCTTTTCCTGTGTCTTCTTATTCTCTTCCGTGTCTCTTTTCCTGTGTCTTCTTATTCTCTTCCGTGTCTGTCTCTTTTTCTGTGTGTCTTCTTCATTCTCTTCCGTGTCTCTTTCCTGTGTCTTCTTATTCTCTTCCGTGTCACTTTTTCCTGTGTCTTCTTATTCTCTTCCGTGTCTCTTTTCCTGTGTCTTCTTATTCTCTTCCGTGTCTCTTTTCCTGTGTGTCTTCTTATTCTCTTCCGTGTCTCTTTTTCTGTGTCTTCTCATTCTCTTCCGTGTCTCTTTTCCTGTGTCTTCTTATTCTCTTCCGTGTCTCTTTTCCTGTGTCTTCTTATTCTCTTCCGTGTCTCTTTTTGTCCTGTGTCTCTCTTATTCTCTTCTGTGTCTCTTTTCCTGTGTCTTCTTATTCTCTTCCGTGTCTCTTTTCCTTCTTCTTATTCTGTTCCGTCTTTTTTTTTATTCTCTTCCTTCCGTGTCACTTTTCCTGTGTCTTCTTATTCTCTTCCGTGTCTCTTTTCCTGTGTCTTCTTATTCTCTTCCCTGTCTCTTTTTCTGTGTCTTCTTATTCTCTTCCGTGTCTCTTTTTCTGTGTCTTCTTATTCTCTTCCGTGTCTCTTTTCCTGTGTCTTCTTATTCTCTTCCGTGTCTCTTTTTCTGTGTCTTCTTATTCTCTTCCGTGTCACTTTTCCTGTGTCTTCTTATTCTCTTCCGTGTCTCTTTTCCTGTGTCTTCTCATTCTCTTCCGTGTCTCTTTTCCTGTGTCTTCTTATTCTCTTCCGTGTCTCTTTTTCTGTGTCTTCTTATTCTCTTCCGTGTCTCTTTTTCTGTGTCTTCTCATTCTCTCCCGTGTCTCTTTTCCTGTGTCTTCTTATTCTCTTCCGTGTCTCTTTTCCTGTGTCTTCTCATTCTCTTCCGTGTCTCTTTTCCTGTGTCTTCTTATTCTCTTCCGTGTCTCTTTTTCTGTGTCTTCTTATTCACTTCCGTGTCTCTTTTCCTGTGTCTTCTTATTCTCTTCCGTGTCTCTTTTCCTGTGTCTTCTTATTCTCTTCCGTTTCTTTTTTTCTGCGTCTTCTCATTCTCTTCCGTGTCTCTTTTTCTGTGTCTTCTTATTCTCTTCCGTGTCTCTTTTCCTGTGTCTTCTTATTCTCTTCCGTGTCTCTTTTCCTGTGTCTTCTTATTCTCTTCCGTGTCTCTTTTCCTGTGTCTTCTTATTCTCTTCCGTGTCCCTTTTCCTGTGTCTTCTTATTCTCTTCCGTCTCTTTTTTTCTGCGTCTTCTCATTCTCTTCCGTGTCTCTTTTTCTGTGTCTTCTTATTCTCTTCCGTGTCTCTTTTCCTGTGTCTTCTTATTCTCTTCCGTGTCTCTTTTCCTGTGTCTCTTCTTATTCTCTTCCGTGTCTCTTTTCCTGTGTCTTCTTATTCTCTTCCGTGTCTCTTTTCCTGTGTCTTCTCATTCTCTTCCGTGTCTCTTTTTCCTGTGTCTTCTTATTCTCTTCCGTGTCTCTTTTCCTGTGTCTTCTTATTCTCTTCCGTCTTTTTTTTTTTTTTTCTCTGCGTCTTCTCATTCTCTTCTTCCGTCTCTCTTTTTCTGTGTCTTCTTATTCTCTTCCGTGTCTCTTTTCCTGTGTCTTCTTATTCTCTTCCGTGTCTCTTTTCCTGTGTCTTCTTATTCTCTTCCGTGTCTCTTTTCCTGTCTCTTCTTATTCTCTTCCGTGTCTCTTTTTCCTGTGTCTTCTTATTCTCTTCCGTGTCTCTTTTCCTGCGTCTTCTCATTCTCTTCCGTGTCTCTTTTTCTGTGTCTTCTTATTCTCTTCCGTGTCTCTTTCTCCTGTGTCTTCTTACTCTTCCGTGTCTCTTTTCCCGTGTGTCTTCTTATTCTCTTCCGTGTCTCTTTTCCTGTGTCTTCTTATTCTCTTCCGTGTCTCTTTTCCTGTGTCTTCTTATTCTCTTCCGTCTCTTTTTTTTTGTCTCTGCGTCTTCTCATTCTCTTCCGTGTCTCTTTTTCTGTGTCTTCTTATTCTATTCCGTGTCTCTTTTCCTGTGTCTTCTTATTCTCTTCCGTCTTTTTTTTTTTTTGCGTCTTCTCATTCTCTCTTCCGTGTCTCTTTTCCTGTGTCTTCTTATTCTCTTCCGTGTCTCTTTTCCTTCCGTGTCTTCTTATTCTCTTCCGTCTCTTTTTTTTTTTCTGTCTTCTCATTCTCTTCCTTCCGTGTCTCTTTTCCTGTGTCTTCTTATTCTCTTCCGTGTCTCTTTTCCTGTGTCTTCTTATTCTCTTCCGTGTCTCTTTTCCTGTGTCTTCTTATTCTCTTCCGTGTCTCTTTTCCTGTGTCTTCTTATTCTCTTCCGTGTCTCTTTTCCTGTGTCTTCTTATTCTCCTCCGTGTCTCTTTTCCTGTGTCTTCTTATTCTCTTCCGTGTCTCTTTTCCTGTGTCTTCTTATTCTCTTCCGTGTCTCTTTTCCTGTGTCTTCTTATTCTCTTCCGTGTCTCTTTTCCTGTGTCTTCTTATTCTCTTCCGTCTCTTTTTTTCTGCGTCTTCTCATTCTCTTCCGTGTCTCTTTTTCTGTGTCTTCTTATTCTCTTCCGTGTCTCTTTTCCTGTGTCTTCTTATTCTCTTCCGTGTCTCTTTTCCTGTGTCTTCTTATTCTCTTCCGTGTCTCTTTTCCTGTGTCTTCTTATTCTCTTCCGTCTCTTTTTTTTCTGTGTCTTCTTCTCATTCTCTTCCGTGTCTCTTTTCTGTGTCTTCTTATTCTCTTCCGTGTCTCTTTTCCTGTGTCTTCTTATTCTCTTCCGTGTCTCTTTTCCTGTGTCTTCTTTCTTATTCTCTTCCGTGTCTCTTTTCCTGTGTCTTCTCATTTCTCTTCCGTGTCTCTTTTCCTGTGTCTTCTTATTCTCTTCCGTGTCTCTTTTTCTGTGTCTTCTTATTCTCTTCCGTGTCTCCTGTTTTTCTGTCTCTTTTTTCTGTCTTCTCATTCTCTCCCGTGTCTCTTTTCCTGTGTCTTCTTATTCTCTCCCGTGTCTATTTTCCTGTGTCTTCTTATTCTCTTCCGTGTCTCTTTTCCTGTGTCTTCTTATTCTCTTCCGTGTCTCTTTTTCTGTGTCTTCTTATTCTCTTCCTCTTGTCACTTTTCCTGTGTCTTCTTATTCTCTTCCGTGTCTCTTTTCCTGTGTCTTCTCATTCTCTTCCGTGTCTCTTTTCCTGTGTCTTCTTATTCTCTTCCGTGTCTCTTTTTCTGTGTCTTCTTATTCTCTTCCGTGTCTCTTTTCCTGTGTCTTCTTATTCTCTCCCGTGTCTCTTTTCTTGTGTCTTCTTATTCTCTTCCGTGTCTCTTTTTCTGTGTCTTCTCATTCTCTTCCGTGTCTCTTTTCCTGTGTCTTCTTATTCTCTTCCGTGTCTCTTTTCCTGTGTCTTCTTATTCTCTTCCGTCTCTTTTTTTCTGCGTCTTCTCATTCTCTTCCGTGTCTCTTTTTCTGTGTCTTCTTATTCTCTTCCTTTCATCTTTTCTTATGTTCTACAATGTTTATGTATCGTTTTATTGCTTTTCTAGCCACCCCCTGGTTTTACAATCTTACACTCATTTTCTTTTTATATCCAATTAGTAAATATATTTCTCTATATCTGTTTATATTTCTGAGATGTGGTATTGTAATTATTTACATTATTTACATTGTTCGGAGTGTTTTCCTTATTGTTATTCCCATATTCATGGCATTTCGGCCGTTGTACGCTCCGGCCTTCTTCAGGATCTGTCTATATTTCTGAGATGTGGTATTGTAATTATTTACATTATTTTCATTGTTCGGAATGTTGCCCTCATCTTTATTGCCATATTCACGACGTTTCGGCCGTCGTACACCTCGGCCGTCTTCAGGTGATGGGAATTTCGAACTGAACCCTTTATTTCGAACATCGGGGTAGACACATGGCCCAGTGGACAAAAGCGTTGGTTGGATCCAGTGACTTGACCCAAAGAGTTGCGAGTTCAATACCTGGCTGCTGCAGAGGCGAATAAAAACTTGGCGAGTTGAGTTAAAGGAAGATAACTGAGATATCCGGAAGAGGCATGGCAAGTGGAACTAGAACAATCTACCCCTGTGGACGAAATAAAGGGTTCAGTTCGAAATTTCAGTCACCTGAAGAATGCCATGTGTACAACGCCCGAGACGTCGTGAATATGACAGTAAAGATGAGGACAACAGTCGGAACAATGTAAATAATGTAAAAGTTTACAATACTTCATCTCAGAAATATAGACAGATCCTGAAGAAAGCAGGAGCGTAAAACGGCCGAAATGTCGCGAATGTGACAGTAAAGATGAGGACAACAGTTGGAACAATATAAATAATATAGATGGTTACAATTCCTCATCTCAGAAATATACACAGATTCTGAAGAAGGCCGGAGCGTAAAACGGCCGAAACGTCGTGAGTATGACAGTAAAGATGAAGACAAGGGTCGGAACAATGTTAATGATATTTCCCTATATTTCCATTTCGTCCCTATCTTTTCCGGATCTCTATCGATATATTTTTTCCTTTCATCTGATTTCCCACCCCCACGACTTTTCCGTTCGCATATATTTTCCCCCCTTAATGCCTTCTTTTCCTCTCCAGCTCCTCTCCCTCACTTACTTCAGAATTAATGTTATGCACACCCTTTCGCTCGCCATACGGTCAGTTTTAGACCCATTTGAGTGACAGGGTGTAATCGATTTCTATTTTTTCCTCAGATGAATTTATTTTCGGGGTGTATGATGAAATTTGTTTAGCCTTAAAAATATTGCGTCATCCGTGATTGCATCAGGTTTTTATCTCGCCCAGACACTATTGTCTCGACTGTCGATTAATTGTCCTACAGCCATTGTCTGCGATGGACACTACTCCAAGGAAGCGTACGATAATTGTAACGCTGTATGAACACCCTGACAAGCCTTAATTCAAACTACTATAGACTGGCCCGTGAACTCTTCTGATTTAAATCCAATCGAGAATCTGCTAACCTCCAGGAGAGTGGAATCAATTGCTAGATCTTCTGCTAGGAGAGTTGGTTCACTGTGTTGGGCTAGACAAATTTTCCCGCCAAAATCTATCTTCCATATTAATAAGTCTGCCGTTTGTCCCATGCTTCGAATATTGCTGTCAGCTATGGACTGGTGCTCCTGCTAAATATTTAGAGATTCTTGATAAAATCCAAAGAAGAATCTGCAATATTATTGGCCCTGACTTGGCATCAGTGCCTCAATCATTTTCCGACCGGCCTGACGCAGCTTCCCTATGCCTTTTCTATAAACATTTTCATGGTAATTGTTCTGATGAACTCTGCTCTATGCTACCTAGACTTTACGAATTTAAGCGCAGTACTAGATTGGCGCTAAGGTCTCATCGTTTCACAGGCTAAATGTAACTGTAAGTTATTTGCTAAAAGTTTCTTTTCTCGCACTTCTCGATTCGGGAACACTCTTCCGGCTTCTTGCTTTCCAGCCAACTTAGATCTTCAAAAATTTAAATGGAATATCCATCGTCACGTACTGTCTTCTTGATTCCACTTCTTTAATAGTTTTCGTCCTTAATAACTTTTTTCTTATACTTTCACGCTCAGTAATCCCTTTGTGTCTTAGTGACTTTATTGCCTTGCTTGGGGTGCAATGATTAAAAAAAACATAAATTACCGGCACGATTAAATTATTTCCTTTAGTCTACACCCCACTCCAACAGGTACAATGCATAGCACGATTATTATTTTTCAAATAATTTTCTTCGCAACACGATTATCTTGTTCCACGCTTAGTAAATGTATAAAAAAAAAAGCCATGTTCAAATTTCGGCCATTGTGTTTACATTTTTACAGACGCCTTTTGCAAAGAGGCGAAACCATCTCTTCTTACTTGCACCTATGATTTAAATAGCGTGGTACACCGGCTTATATGGCCTTAGTTGGTAGCCATTGTAGGAGAAAAAACAACATTGAATTCGAAATCGATTTAGCGTGGGGCTAGTAACTCTAACCTGTAAAAACTACTTACTACCGAAGCCACATTCACCACCCTAGCCTGGTTTTACTGTAGCCCTAAACTCCACGGCCAGAGTCTACGGATTCATGAAGAAGAATATATTTTATAATTAGAGCGAAATAAACTTTTGCTGACTTTTTTTTAAAATAAATTCTACCCATGATATCACATGTTACACGAACAGCTACAATGAATCTTTGATATCTATTTAAACTCTATTTAAACTAATCAAGACACAGAAATAAAATGTCGTGCGTAAGACAATAAACTACATCCAACAAGAAGGCCTCTGATCAAGAGGTTTTGAGAAGCGTACAACCACCTCTTAATTGCTGGTGTTCCAAGGTCCTCCCAGTCCCGGGTTGATAACACCTGCTAGGGTCCTAACTATGGGCAAATAGTTAATTCCCCAAACTGGGGTCAAAACACTATGAAAGTGTAAAAATAGGTTTTAATAGCAGCAATAATTTTTTTGAGGAAAATTATTACCATCAATACATTTCTGAAGAAAAAATATCACCAGCAATATATTTTTGAAGAAAAAAATATTACCAGCAATAAAAATCTTGTCAGCATTGAGGCTGATATGCCGTAAAATCAAACCAAACCAAACAGAAAGAAATACTTGAATATACGTAAATGCAGTCTTACCTATTCATTTAATTCCGTGATTGATATGCAGGTACGTCAATATCCTCGAAGCCTAATCATGAAAAGATCATTCATTTTGTAAAACAAATATTTGTTTTTCGTTGTCAATGCCCTTAATTCATTGATGAATATTTAGGTAGACCAATAAGCCCGAGGAGAAAAAACGAATATATTTTTCATAAATATTTATTTTCCTACGTATTTTCTTTTTTTGTCAATTTCGGTAATGAATATTAATTACATAAACGAACATAATCAAATAAAAATTTCAGATCAAACTTCAACATATCAGGCTACGAACTTATTGATCGTCTCTCGTACAAGATTTTTAAGTGATATGTAGATATGTCTTTTTATAGAAATAGTTTTCTTGCTTAATAGTGCCGAATATTTCAAACAAACATCTGAAATAACTCTTCTTTTTTCTTCTTCAGGATTACATCAGAACCTACCTTTACTTTACCACAATGACGGGGAGACTAAGTACGTGGATAACGTCTTGAGAAAGTACATGGATATTTTTTTTAAATGTGCGTGGATAAATTAAAAAAAAATTACGTGAATGAATTTAAAAAAAAAAAGTACGTGGATAAATTTAAAAAAAAAACAAAATTCGTGGATATTTTTTTTTAAAAGCAAAGTACGTGGATAAATTAAAAAAGAACAAAGTACGTGGAATTAATTTTTAAAAAAACAAAGTACGTGGAATTCATATTTTAAAAAAACAAAGTACGTGGAATTAATTTAAAAAATGCAAAGTACGTGGATAATTTAAAAAAAAAAAGTAAAGTACGTGGATAAATTTAAAAAAAGCACGTGGATAAATTAAAAAAAAAAGCAAAGTACGTGGATAAATTTAAAAAAAAAAAGAATGTGGATACTTAAAAAAAAAATAAAGTACAGGGTGGTCTGAAAGTCTTGTCACTCATAGATAGTATAATTTTCTTTTTAAAATGTCTGACACAGGCTCCTACAGTTTGGAAGAGAGATATGGGGTGACAAGACATTCGGACCACCCTGTACATGAATAAATTTTTTTTAAAAAACGAAGTACATGGATATTTTTTTTCATAAAACAGCGTACGTGGATAAATAAACAAATACGTGGATAAATAAAAAAAAATTAGTGAATGAATAAAAAAAAAAAACAAAATACGTGGATAAATAAAAAAAAAAAAACAAAGTATATGGATAAATTTAAAAGAAAAAGGATATTTAAAAAAACAAAAAAAACAATGTGATCTGCAAGAAAATGAAAGGAAAATACGAAATTCAACCAAGAAACACTGATGTTGGTAAGTATTTTCTAACTTACTTCCTTTGCTTTTTAGAATCAACAAAATAAATTAATACCAAAACGATTTTCTCTAAAAACTCATTTTGTTATCTGCTGGTCTGTTTGAATTTTTTTAAACAATACTTTTTGAAAATTCTACATTTTTATAGAATCTAATTACCACCAGTCTTTCACTTATAAAATATTTACATATTATCGTCTCTAAAGCAATAAAAGAATGATGTCAACAGCGAAAAATACTTCTTGAATATTCTGATGATTTATCATACAATTACAGAATGAATCTTGCATTAAAAAATAACACATGTAAACAAAAAACATTTTACAAAAACTTTCCTTTACGCCGACTGACATCATATAGTTTATAATGTTTGCTAATTATCGTCGATTTTAGCGGTAATCTTAATACAGACACCGGCACGATTTTTGATGCCAAGAAACAAAACATATTTTAGCTAATTTGATGATGCTGATTCCGAAAATGACCAAAGTTTTTCATGATTAGCTAACATTTTTGTTGTATTGAAATTGCTCATTTTGGAAAAAATGATCAATTTACGATCTTGACTGATCGCAAAACTTAGTTAATAAAGGTTGCAGAACCCCATCAATTTTCGGGTAGGTCGAGCAATTTATGTCAGCCAACCTGAAATAAACTATTTTTATAAGAAAAATGTGTTTTTTTTTTGGGGGGGGGTCAACAATTTGAAAATAGAAGTAACGAATTTTTTCAATTTATCGACAAAATTCAAATTAACTGATAAACTTTATCAGTGAATACACTTTAGTAAACCTGATAATTAAGGTGACATCAAAAAAATGAAACCGTAAAATCTTTTGTTTGATATTCATAAATTTATCCCATCACTTTTATCCCTTCACTACCAAGCAGATTGAGAGCATTTTGTTTTCACAGTTGGAAAGAAACTCCAACTAAAGACATCTCAATTGAATGCACCTATTCCATTGTACATGATACTGCTGGAATATCAAAAGGGACTTAAATAACATTGAACATCACAGACAATCAAGAAAGAGAAAATATTTACCATAGTTCTTAACTTCACGAAGGTTTTATTTCTGCTGTTAGTTTATTAAATGATTTGATGAAAATACTTATTGGTCTCGGTAAATTCAGTCGTGTTATTTTTAAAGACTTAGGGTCTGATTGTTATTGCAAAAATAGTATTTTTCAATAAGCAGACCAATATTTGTTGGTTTAAATACGAATTGAGAGGTTTCTACGGTTTTATTTTGAGAAATATTGCCATCGGTCAATATCATATATACAGAAAATAAATGAAAAAATTCTTCTTTTCCAAAAATGAGGCATTTCTGTACAGCAAAGATGGTAGCTAACCAAGAAACAGTAAGGTTATCTTCAGATTCAGCGCTCTCAAATTAACTAAAAATATGTTTGGTGTCTCCATACCATTTCAATTTTTTTTTTTTTTTTGTTGTTGATCATTGTTATTTTATAACGATTTTTGAAAGCATATTGCTGTAACTTTAATTTTTCAGTTAGGTTTCAGCTTTTAAAAAATAGCACAAAATTAGTTTTAAAAAAGAAAAATATATCTGCTTACTTAAAACCGGTTTTAAAGTATTTTTATATAAATCAAAATTACTTCAATTCGCCATAAAGGATAAAAGTTCGATCAAGTTTACGGGCCCCGCATAGGACATTTAAAGTATGGGTGATTAAAACTGACAAAAATCCAGTTTTCTTTGTGCGCATTCTAATAAAGGTCAAAAGTAGCCCAAGATTATCATTACTTTTAAACGATCTTCCATACATGCTAATGGCATAGTGCTATCTCTGGTTTATTGGATTTTGTTAAACTTAATATTTCTTGAATATGATAACTCTTATTATTTAATATGAACGTTCCGGAAGTGTTCAAGCAAAATAAAGAATTTTCAAACATTAAAAATATTCTCTTTTCAGATATTTTTGATGTATTTTCAAATTCAGACCATATTTTCTATTTTTCTGCTTGAAATTTCATATAAAATTTCATCTCATTTATTTCTTCTAACAACTTATAGATATAAAAATATTTTAGTGTCTAAAATACCGTAATGATAAAAGTACGCAGGAGTAGGTTTTAAGAAAGCTTTATTCAACTGAGAATATAAGGTTCGCGTATAATATCCTTTTATAGTCCCAGTAAACAGAGATAGTTCTCTCAAAGAGGAGAGTAACAAAACAAGGCGAGACTATTCTTGATTATACATAACAAATACTTTCATAAAATTAAATAAAATTTGTTCGATTGACCGTAAATTATATTTTAATAAACGTTTCTCGTAAAATACCGTTGTCATAAATTTATTTATATAAGTTTTCGTACAGAAAGTTTTATTGAAATCAATGAATATTTAGAGATTCCTTTTTCACCTAAAAGATTTCTCATACAAATTATTACATAATACTTTTTTAGTGTTTTACTGATTTTTTACAGTGGATACAAATATTTTATATATCAACATTTTCTCTAATCTTTCTTACCTAATGGCATAATGGCGATGGTAATAAAATTATATTTTATGCCCGTATTACGCGTTTTGTTTTTCCTTGCATATCGCATTATTTTCAAAAATGTTCTATGCACTTAGAGTGTATATCATTTATCTGAATATTTCGTTAATTTTGTATTGAAAATATTAGTTTAAAAAATCGGTTATGAAGTTAATAACATTTTATTTTCTGTTTGAATGTTGATTATTCGAATGGGATTACATCGATTTTAACCTTTTTTTGTTTAGAAAGAATTTCTTTTGGCATTTATGTGAAAGAAAAATCCTTGAAAGTCGAATCGTAAGGTAAAATATTAAAATGAATGCAGTCATGATTTAAATAATTAAAAGCTAAGTGACGGTTGCCGTGGGTTAACACAAACATAAATAGCGTTGAAATTAATGTTCATAATACATTTCATAAAGGTTCTTAGAATTTGATTCTACATGTTTCAACACAAAATTTATACTAATGATAATAAATTATATATAAATATATTTTAATATATTTTAAATATATTTTAATAAATACTGCGTAGAACTTACAGCCATGAAGAAATTAAAAGTTTATAAAAAGGGAGATTTTCACAGTTGTATGTATTTATCTGTTACATTTCTGAGATGAAACCTTGTAACTATTTACATCGTTCGGACTGTTGTCTTCATCTTTATTAGCATATTCACGACGTTTCGACCGTTGTACGCCCCGGTCTTCTTCAGGATCTGTCTATATTTCTGAGATGAGGTATTGTAACTATTTACATCGTTCGGACTGTTATCCTCATCTTATATTGCCATATTCATGACATTTCGACCGCTGTACACCACGGTCTTCTTCAGGATCTGTCTACATTTCTGAGATGAGGTATTGTAACTATTTACACTATTTAGTCGTTCGGACTGTTGTCTTCATCTTTATTGCCATTTTCACGACGTTTCGACCGTTGTACCACACCGACCTTCTTCAGGTAATATACGTTGAACTTCCGAACCGAATCCTTTATTTAGCCCACGAGGGTGGATTGTTCTAGCTCCACATGCCATGCCTTTTCTGGATATCTCAGTTTTAGTTATTCCTCTTCCGTAACTCGACTCCCAATGTTGTTGTTCCTTCTGTTGTAACCAGGTATTGAACCCACAACCCTTTGGGTCAAGTTACTTTTTGGATTACTTCAACCAAAGCTTTTATCCAAGGATACATGGCCCAGTCGATAAAAACTTTGGTTTAATTAATCGAAAAAGTGACATGACCGAAAAAGTTATGAGTTCAATATCTAGCCACACCAGAGGTTGAAGAGTTGAGGTACTAAAGGGAATTAACTGAATCTGAGATATCCAGAAAAGGCATGGCACGTGGAACTAGAACTATTTACCCGGTGGACTAAATAAAGGGTTCGGTTCGAAATTCCAACATATATATCACCTGAAGAAGACCGGAACGATACAACGACCGAAACGTTGTGAATATGACAATAAAGATTAGGATAATGGTCCGAACAATGTAAATAATTACAATACTTCATCTCAGAAATATAGACAGATCCTGAAGAAAGCCGGGACATACAACGACCGAAACGTCGTGAATATGACAATAAAGATGGGGACAACAATCCGAACGATGTAAATAGTATATATTTATATCAAATGCAAAAATTTTATTTACATTATTCGGGCTATTGTCCTCATCTTTGTCGCCATATTTATTACAACGTTTCGGCCGTTGTACGCTCCGGCCTTCTTCAGGAGGTTGGAATGTCGAACTGAACTCTTTATTTCGCTCACTGGGGTAGACTGTTCTAGCTCCATGTGCCATATCTAATTGGTGGCAGTTATCTCCTGTTAATTCTGCCTTAACCGGGTATTGAACTCACACTCTTTGGGTCCTATCACTGGATCTAACCAACGCCTTTATCCACTGTGCCATGTGTCCTTGAGAAATATAGACAAATGCAAAAACTTTATTTTTAATTTCATCCAGTATATTTGAAAATATGGATTTGTTCATTAGATTTTAGACTTAATTAAGAAAAACTCGTAGAAATTAGCTGTTTAAAAAAACATTTATTTAATTTAATGACGTTAAAGTTTTAGTGCAGTATAGAATATAAATTCAGCAAATTAGAATTTTTTTTAAAGAAATTTACAGGATTTTTATTGTCTATTTCAAGTGAAAGAACTAGAAATTCAACCATAATTAAACAAATAAAATATTAACCATCGTGTGTGTGTTTATTATTCGACATTTTTAACGTAATACAAAATGTGAATCAACTATATTAAAGAACTACATTGTTGGTCAGAAAGTCTGAATTTAATCTGCGAAAATTCTATTTAAAATTTCTTAGATTAAAAGCATGACGAGTTAAAGTTAACAGAAGATTATGTCTTTTATAAGTCATAGATTGATGCTATTTGTTCGATATGAGAGATTCTTATTTGCAATAAAGAACTTCATTAGCCTTGTATTGAGTAGAAGCTCACAATTGTGGGATGTCTGGTATATGAATCATTTTTTCTGAACCGCCATCTTCTTTTATATGTGTGTGTGTGTGTGTGTGTGTGTGTGTGTGTGTGTGTGTGTGTGTGTGTGTGTGTGTGAAATGCTTTACCTTCCTGAAGGTAAAATGATAATGATTAACATATGCAGAGGCCAACTACACTACTTTTTTTTTTATCAAATTTGGATTATCGACAAGAACATTCCCAAAATTTTCCTCGTTTTCACATTATATAAGAATTTCTCTTAGAGAATTAACTGTTTTATCAAATATATTCTTGTACATCAGCAGAATTTGAGAAAAAAATGCGGATATTTGCGTTTGCGAATAAAGAATGAAAAACAGAATGTTTTAAACTTTTCAAAAAATAGATGCATAGATATGGGCAACTTGAGATAGATGGATAGATATGAACATCTTGAGATAGAAGGACAGATATGGTCATCTTGAGATAGATGGAAAGATATGGACATCTTGAGATAGATGGATAGACATCTTGAGATAGATGGATAGACATCTTGAGATAGATAGATAGATATGAATATCTTGAGATAGATGAACAGATATGGTCATCTTGAGATAGATGAATAGATATGTACATCTTGAGATAGATGAATAGATATGTACATCTTGAGATAGATGAATAGATATGGACATCTTCAGATAGATGAATAGATATAAACATCTTCAGATAGATATGAACATTTTGAGATAGATGGATAGATATGAACAGCTTGAGATAGATAGATAGATAGATAGATAGATAGATAGATAGATTGGGGTAGAGAAATAATGAATGTATTTAGATAGATAGATAGATAGATAGATAGATAGATAGATAGATATTTTGGGGATGAGCAGTTACCATTATTTACATGCCTGTTATTGTCTTAAATCTTTGTTGTACTTGTCATAATGTTTCGGGCGTTGTGTCTTCCAGTCTTCATCAGGCGTATGTCGATCCAGGTAAAGGTTACCTGGATCGACATAGTCTTTAATATCTTTTTGTTCCAATTCCGTAGCTTTAAAACTTGACTTTCAATTCATTTTCCTGGTCATTATACACAAGAATCAATTGTAAATTATTCAACTTTGCCCGTCTGAGGCCAAATACCAAAGTGCTTTCAGAGAAATGCTGTTTGCTGACCACGCAGCTCTGGACCGCGCGCATTGAATACGACCTCCAACCTAAGATTAGTTAGTTTAACTATGCCTGTAAGGAATTCGGGCAGTATATTAACATAAAACATAAAACAACCAAATGTCACGAATCAAGATATTTCTGCATCTCCCTCAATTGGCATTGATGACATGCTGATTGAAGTCACAGATCACTTCACATCTCTGGTCTGTACCACCCCAACAACCTTGAAATAGAAATTTACAAACTTATCTCGAAAGCGGTATCAGTGATGGTCATATTGAACACAAGAGTATGGAACAGCAGTAAGCTGACCTTGCTCACCAAACTAAAGGTGTTCACTTCTTCTTAATGCTCTGCTTTACAAAAGCGAAACCATGACAACATATGGTAGGGAAGAAAATAACCCTGAAAAGCTTCCCTCTCAGCTGTATGTCATCAGCATCACATGGAGAGACAACTTTACCAACACTGTTGTTTTGAAGCAAGCAGACTCCTGGAGCGTGCATTTTCTTCTTTGTCAACGTCGTCTTCGATGGTTGGGTTACGTACATCATATGAATGACGGCTCTATACCAAAAGACATCCTGTACGGTGAGATGGTCAAGGGACACTGTCCGATAACCCGCCCAACATTACGTCTCTATGATATCTTCATGAAGGACCTGAAACTCACAGGCATCGATTCTGATAGCTAGGAACATCTAGCAGACGATAAATGGATGGTACTGTATATATATATATATATATATATATATATATATATATATATATATAATATACAGTACCATCCATTTATCGATAAATCAACAGACGATAAATGGATGGTACTGTATATATATATATATATATATATATATATATATATATATATATATATAATATACAGTACCATCCATTTATCGTCTGATATGTGTGTGTGTGTGTGTGTGTGTGTGTGTGTGTGTGTGTGTGTGTGTGTGTGTGTGTGTGTGTGAATATATAGAAAATAGGAAAGAACTCGTTAGGTAAATAATCCAAAGTTCAAAAATAGTGCTCGATACAAAAGTAGACTATAAATATAATTATTTATTTAAAAATATGATATATATTTATTTAAAAATATATATATATATATATATATATATATATATATATATATATATATATATATATATATATAAAAGCAATTTTTACAAAAAATGAAATAGCAATGTTAATGTGATTAATGACGAAATCACTTTTGCTAACAAAACTTAATGAAACATTAACTTACTATCAATTTCTTGAATAAGATTCTTATATTTCAGTAGATGTCAAATGAGAGATACATACCGAGTACTTTCAACAATTTCAAATTGTCATCTTCAGGGCACAATTTTCTCCATACATAGAAAAAAAATAAGACGGAATATGTGTAAGATATGTTTGTTTTTTTTTTTAATTATGCTATTTATTGACAATTAAATACAAGTTTTTGAAAGTAATCGGCATGTCTTCCATCTGCCATCTACTCAAATATAAATACGAAATATTATATATATATATATATATATATATATATATATATATATATAATATTTCGTATTTATATATTATATATATATATATATATATATATATATATATATATAATATTTCGTATTTATATATTATATATTATATATATATATATATATATATATATATATATATATATATAATATTATATATAATATATTATATCTATATAGTTATCTTTTCCTCTTTTCTTCTTTCTTTTCGTTCGATCTTTTTATTTATTTTCGTTTCCTTTTTTGATTATTCCTTTTCTTTTCTTTTTTTATTTCCTTTTCTATTTTTTTTTTCTCGACTTTTCTTTGTAATCTTTCCCTTTTTTTTATTCTTTTACGTTTTACTTTTTATTTTGATTTCTTTTTCCTTTTTCTTCGTTCTTTTTAGTTTTTTAAATTAAATGAATGATGCCATTCCTCTTGGGATTTGCCAACCTCTATTGAGTCCCCGTCTGCGTTTTAAATTATACATGAAAATAATGATTGATACCAGATCTGAACGTGTTTTTCTTCTTTCATTAAAAAAAAAAAACAAAACTGAATAAAACCATGACAAAGAGACATTGTCATTGACTGGCTTATCTTAATTCTAAATATTATAATATTTATATATTAAAAGGCTACAGAAATATTGACTTTTCCCTCTATTTTAAATACGGTAAGGTAAGTATTAGATGAAGTTATAAGTAATTTCCTTTATGGGAAACTAGTTGCAATGACGAATGAAGCATCTTAACTACGAATAATTCATAGCAGTTAAGAATAATTTTGGAGTACACTGACATACGACAGTGGCAGCGTACACAATGAGTTAATGTATTTCTTAGTTCCACTAATGGAAGGATTGAAAAAGCATTTACCTCACATAATATTATGGCAGTATAAGTCAAAGAATAATGCTATGGAGAAATTTATAACACAAATAAGGAATAATGGTAATATTCAAACTAGCATTATATATTCTCAAGAAGCCTGTCTGGAGCAGCTGACTTACCGATTAGGTCACGAAGACTACCTGTTAGAGAAACATTTCACTCTTTATTTTCTTCAAATGACTGAAAGGCTTATTTTGTTTACATGCCTCAGTATTCGGTAAAAAAAAAAATAACTGAATCTGAAAATTCAGTTAATTGGCATACATTATGCCCGAGACTTGACTGATGAAGTAAAAGGTTTTCCCGCAGTAGGATGCCATTTTTTTTTTCTGCGGGATACCAATTGCCTATCAAATGTATAGAATCCAGTGTGTACTACTATTTACCCATAGCTATGGTGGTTGGGAGGGGGAAGAGTTGGATTCTTACCTTTCTCAAGGGTATTAGCACGTAAGTGAATGTAATGAAGGTGACTGGAATTGGAACTTGGCTTTTCAATTCCTCAGTCCGAGCCGCAATCCATTACACTACCGGACATCCTTATTAATGACCGTAGAATAAATTAGCGGGTTCTTATAAAAAAAAAAAAAAAAAAAAAAAAAAACATAAACAAAATGAAATAAAAATTCGTCAAAATGAATAATACACTGTCCAAAAATGGTCACGAGGTCATAAATGACAGGCAAGTACGAAATCGGTTTGTAAACTATCTTTTTCAAGAAACGTTGTTGGAACTTGAACCTAAGACCGGAGCATTCCTCAAACACTAATAATGAATCTCTGTCCATATCTCTGAGATGAAGTATTATGATTATTTACATTATTTACATTATTCAGACTGTTATCCTCATCTTCATTGCCATATTCACAACGTTTCGGTCGTTTTACACTCCGTCATTTTCAGGTGGTTGTAATTTCAAACCCAACCCTTTATTTCGGCCACCGGGGTAGATTGTTCTAGTTCCACGTGCCATGCCTTCTGTATCGGTCTATATCTCTGAAATGAGGTATTATGATTATATACATTATTCGGACTATTATGCTCATCTTCATTGCCATATTCAAAATGTTTCGGTTCAAAATTCCAATCACTTGAAGAAGTCCAGAGCAGACAATGGCCGAAACGTTGTAAATATGACAATGAAGATAAGGATAACAGTCTGAATAATGTAAATAATGCAAGTAATCATAATACCTCATCCCAGGGATATAGAAGCCAAAATGTTATGAATATGACAATGAAGATAAGGATAACAGTCTGAATAATGTAAATAACGTAAATATTAATGATAAATCTTTGAAGTCTTGAAAGGAAAATAATCGACCGCAAAGTACTCGGTAATTTTTCCTTTTACTAATGATCACCCGATACAAGGCCCAAGTGCCACTCAAGGTAGAGGGTTGCTGAGTATAAGAATGATCAAGATAACAAGAAACATGGACAGATGTTTCTAGACTTTTAATGGTAAAGATTTAATTAGCGAATAAAATTTCACAGTTCAGACGGAGACGTTAGAAGTATAGAGTTGAAGTAGACTTTAGAAGGAACCCAATACTAAACAGGAAACAAGGGATAAACCTCTACTAAACTGGGGAAGAGTGTGAACCGGGCGATAGGCAAATCTAACTATTCTTATTGGGAGAAGAAAAATAATAATAATTACTGAATAAAATTTCGGATTTCAGAAAATACGTCAAAAGTACAGAGTTGAAAGAACAGGAATCCCAATCCTAAGCAAGAAACAAGTGATAAACCTCTACTCCTGTTCAAAAAAACTGGAGAGGAGTATGAACCGGACGATAGGCAAATCTATCTACTCCTATTAAACAAGGACGTTAAATATATCACAATCTATCATATGCTGACACTTAAAAAAAAAAGACAAATTTAGCATGTTCCGTGTTAGGTTTTAAGAGGTTCTTGGCAAAAAGAACAAAAGATTTTATTTATGAATCAACTTTATAATAATTCAAGTAAATCTGTAAATAGAATTAAAACCAATTATGTTTTACTAACGGGTTTTCGTTGACAACCAGCATCTTATAATTTGCATAAACTTAGATTAGTATTAATTTTATTTAGAACTTAATAACTCATTAAATTCATGTAAGTAGATATTGAAAATGAATTCAATAAATGCACAAAAATAGAAAAGGACGCAAATGTGTCTACTTACCAGACTTTTTCAACCTTTACAGCGGGCTGATTCTGAGAGAACTAGAAGTCCTACCAGGATTTATTATTCGCGGCAATATTTTAAATAATTATTGACAGGTCAAATTTTATCAACATAAGATATGTAGGTGATACATATCACAGAAAGGAAAGTGGAGGAACTCCTAGAGACGATAGTAAATGAAAAAGAGAAGAAAGGACTAAATTTAAATTGTATGAAGACAAGACGGGTAGTTGCCAGCAACAATTACAATCCAAGAATCAAATTGCGAATCGGAGATTCCAAAATCAAGCAAGTACGAAAATTTAAATATCCGGGAAAGATTTTAACCGGGAATGAAAAGCGTGGTACCAGAATCCGAAGGTGAATTGAATAGAGAAAGATGACACCCAAAAGCTAAGCAAAGTATTAAAACAATCAGATTTCGTGAGAAGCAAAGTGTTCAACTGCTATGTAATATATGTCCTAATATATAGTAGCGAGTACTGGACAATATCCTCACATATGATGAAAAAAAACTTGAGG